TTTTATTGTAGAGATGAGGTCTCACCACCCAGGCGGGTCTCGAACCCGCGGGCTCAGGCGATCCACTCACCTCAGCCTCCCAAAGGCACGGGATGACAGGCTGAGCCCTCGAGCCCGGCTTGCCTTTAGGTTTAACACCAGATTCTCATTCTTCCTTCTCCACAGCTGACAGAGACGACAAAGAAACATCTACCTACCTGTAGTTCCACCATAGAGTACTGAAAAGAAAAAAACGGATAATGTAGGTTAAAGTAGGATAAGGATAAACATTCTAAAAGCAAAAATTCACAAAGAACTCTCACCCTCTCTCTTGCCCATTTTTCTTCTTTCTAAATGGCTCTTCTGTGACATGGAAAAAATCAAACTGGGAGCAAAGACTTGCTGGGAGCAGAAAGGGGGAAGTTTTCTTCAAGAAAATTCCAGTCTCCAAAAGATTTAAAGAAATGAAGCATCAGGCCGGGCAGGGTGGCTCGCACCTGTAGTCCCAGCACTCTGGTAGGCTAAGTGGGAAGATTGCTCGAGCCCACGGGTTCAAGACCAGCCTGAACAACATAGCAAGACCTTGTCTTTCCTTATACAAGGGATCAAGAATCAGGAAGGACATCAGTTAGCCAGAACAGCTCTGGAAGGAAATAAGTGCTCAACTAGGAAAGTAGCATTTCCAACTGGAAGTTGTCTGAAGTTTCTGAATCAACTAGACAGAATCAGTTATATAAGGCTTATTTTAGTTGTTTGGGGATAAAACATTGTGATCTGTAAGCACAATGTTTGTCCTCGGTTTCTGGGTAAAATTCCTTTGGTTAATCTCAGAGTTTCAACTGACCTTGGAGGGAGGGGCTGGCCAGAGAAATGGACCAGGGAGGAAAGAACCACTTTACAAGAGAAAGAGAGGCTGACTATGGACATCTGAGCACCTTGGAGTAATCTAGCATAACTTGAGCAAAGGAAGGATAATGTAACAAGGGCAGTAAATGAGACCAACCTTGAGTGGTAGAGCTAAAGTAGTGTTGGCCACGGCCCCCCTTTGACCCTAGCGTGTCCTTGTTGCAGTTCTAGAATCAACAGTCTGTTAAGAAATAAGTACTCACTCTTACACTGAACTGCTGCTAAGAAGGGATACAAGGGATGGGAAGAAGGAGCTGGAAAGAACTCTAAACCGGACAAGACAGTAGTGTGTAGGCGGCCCGTCAGTAACAAACTGGTAACTTCTGTGAACCCAGGGAGAGGCAATGGCAACTCTGGCAATGTGAAAATGGAAGCTGAAAATATGTTGTGTGTGTGTGTATGTATGTATACACACAAGGGGTGCCAAACAATATGTGTACGCATTTTAAGTATGACGTTTGCTCAAAAGATAGCGTTAATCAGATGAATGCTAGCATCACCGTGCGACAACCAAGACGGTCAGAGAAAATGACAGAAGCACAGTTGAGCGAATGTGTCATACTACACATTGTTACTGTAATTTAATTTAATTTCAAAAAGTAACACATAGCATCTTTTAAAATGCTCATATTTTAAGCCGGGCTCGGTGGCTCAGCCTGTAATCCCAGAACTTTGGGAGGCCGAGGTGAGTGGATTGCCTGAGCCCGCGGGTTCGAGACCCACCTGGGCACCTTGGCGAGATCTCATCTCTACAATAAATCAAAAACTAACTGGGCGTGGTAGCACGCGCCTGTAGTTCCAGCTACTCGGAAGGCTGAGGCGGAAGGATCGCCGGAGCCCGGCAGGTCAAGGCTGCGGTGGCCGGGAGCCGCCACTGCCCTCCAGTCTGGGCGCCAGAGTGAGACTCCAACTCGAAAAAATAAAAAAATAATAAAATAAAACGCTCCTATTTTGGCACCATATATATAAATATATAAACATAAATATAAAATACATATATATTTAATGATATATATATTTAGTCAGTGTTCTACTTTGTCACCCAGACTGGAGTGCAGTGGCGTGATCATGGCTCACTGCAGTCTCAGACTCCTGAGCTCAGGCAATCCTCCTGCCTCAGCTTACTGAGTAGCTGGGACTACAGACATGTACCACCACGCCTAGCTAATTTTGGTGGTTTTTTCTGCAGAGACAAGGTGCTATGTTGCCTAGGCTGGTCTCAAACTCCTGGACTCAAGCAATCCTCCTGCCTTGACTCCCAAAGTGCTGGGATTATAGGCATGAGTCATCGCACCCAGTCACATATGTTTATCCCAAAAAGTTTCAATGCATAGGTGTGACTGAAGGAGAAGAAAGGACTCAGGGGTGTGTGAGAGGTGTCTCAGAAGCATGTAGAAACGACAGAAGCCCTAAACTGAGGTCAAACCTGTTAAAAGGTTTATGATTCTAGAAATAGGGTTGTTCAAGAAAAATGTATGTCTTCTCCAAATGTTGCCATACTTACCTCTTTGGCCTGTGTTGCCTTAGAATTGTCTACTTTGTAAATTGCCTTGCCTCTTTGTGAAAAAATGGTAGTGAGAGGATTTTCTCATTTCTTCCTTTTGCTGAATATACTCCTGAATTTTTTTTTTTAATAGGAATCTCACTCCCACACCTGGCTAATTTTTTTTTAGTCTGTTGTAGAGACAAGATCTCGCCAAGTTGCCCAGGCTGGTTCAAACCCGTGGGCTCAGGCATTCTCCTCGCCTCTGCTTCCCAAAGTGCTGGGATTACAGGCATGAGTCACTGTGCCGGCGTGAATTATTTCTTAGTATTTGAGATGCAGAGCCACTTGGCATCACTCCTGAAGAGGAGGTCTTAAAGTTTTCAGAAACAGCAGATGCAATCCTTTCTCAGGAGTTAACCTGATTCATGTGTAGATCCCAAGGCTGAGAACTAATCACCTCTGTTTACTCCCAGGCAGACAGGTGAGTACAGTAGTAATCTGATCCCCAAATATACAGCATCCTGCAACCCAGGGTCTTACCTGGTCACACCTACAAGAATTTCTACACTTAGAGAGAGAATCTTTCCTCCTTTTTCCTGTTCTCAACCTGTGCCATTCACTCCCTTCCCCCCCTCCCAACTAAATTCTCACCTTGTCATTCACTGGAACAAAGTTGCTGTCCAGGGTGACAATGCGGAAAAGCACTAGAAGGAAACAAATGTCATCAACAAAAGGGACTTTCCCCTCTCAGAATCTTCCTTCCATCCCTATTTCCTCATACATAATTTTTTCTTCTTCTTTTTTTTTGAGTTGGAGTCTCACTCGGTCGCCCAGACTGGAGTGTAGTGGCCCCTCCCGGCCACCGCAGCCTTGACCCACTGGGCTCCAGCAATCCTTCCGCCTCAGCCTTCCAAGTAGCCGGAATTATAGGCACTTGCTACCACGTCCGGCTGATTTTTTGATTTATTGTAGAGATGAGATGAGGTCTCGCTGCCCAGGCGGGTCTCGAACCCGCGGGCTCAGGCAATCCCCTCACCTCAGCCTCCCAAAGGTGCGGGATTACAGGCTGAGCCACCGAGCCTGGCTTTTTCTTTCTTTTTTTTAGAGACAAGGTCTCACTCTTGCCCAGGCTGGAGTGCAGTGGCACGATCACAGTTCACTTCAGCCTTGACCTCCTGGGCTCAAGCCACCCTCCTGACTCCACCTTCCCAGTAGTTGGGACAACGCACACGAGTCACCACACCTGACTAATTTTTTTTTATTTTTTGAGGAGACAGGGTCTCGCTATGTTGCCCGGGCTGGTCTTAGCTCCTGGGTTCAAACAATCCTCCTGCCTTGGCTTCCCAAAATGCTGGAATTACAGGCATGAGCCACCACGCCTAGATTTTCCTCACATATACTTCTGAGTCAGCAAAACCCTGTCAGGTTTTACTTTTAAACAAAACTAGCCTGAGAGAGAGGTCAAGCCAAAACACAATCTCTCTTCAGGGCCGTGACTGTGAAACCTCAGAATGGAGTGCCACTCTAAGAAGGAACGGAGAGACACAAATAGCAGGTGCTCTAGTCGGATTCCCTTGATGCTTTCTTATTGTTTTACAAGCTGCTTGTTTTAAGACCCAGAAACCCAATCACACTTGACAAATTCTACTCCAGGGGAAACCCCAACGTGTGTTACAGATACACACTAAGTAGCAGCTCCACCTTCCACAGGCGCTTGTATAACACACGTGTATTCAGTACCCATAACTCCTCATTCCCTCCAGACTGTCCTCTCCTTGTTCCTTAAGCCCCCCACCAAACACAAGTCCCCATTTTTCTATTGTTTCCCTTGCGGGGCACGGTGGCTTACACCTGTAATCCCAGCACTTTGGGAAGCTGAGACGAGGATTGCTTGAGCACAGGTGTTCAAGAGCAGCCTGGGCAACATAGCGAGACCTCATCTCTACCAAAAAAGTCCAAAACTAACTGGGTGTGGTGGCACACACCTGTAGTCCCAGTTACTTGGAAGGCTGAGATGGAAGGATCACCTGAGCCTAGGAGGTCTAAGCTGCGGTCGTGCCACTGCTATGATCGTGCCACTGCACTCCAGCCTGGGCAACAGAATGAGCCCTCGACTCAAAAAAAGAGAAATTGTTTCCCCAGTCCTGAGGCCAACCCCAATCACGTGTCTCTTACCTTGCTGCCCTGGGGTGTAGACCGGTTTGTCAGTCTGTACAAAGGTACCCGTCCCCTGCCTCTGAATTAGAACCTTTTTCTTCTCCTCAAAACTGATGTTATTTCCAACTCCCGACACCCGGATTGTGGCCACCTCTTCTGTGCCACCAGCGGGAGGTGGTACCTGGCAAGAGAGGGGAGATCAGGGGAGGAGCAAGAGACCGGGGGAACAGAATCAACAGGTCTCAACCCAACAGTGAAGGAGTGAAGGGAAAGAACTGAGTTAGACAGGAGAGCCCAAGCAAAGCCACAAAACGAGTTGCCGGGAAGAAGAAATTAAGGTCAGGAAGTGAAAGAAGAAATCCAAGGTCAAGGAAGTTGTGGGTGAGCCATGGCCAGAAACTGAAGCTTAACTGAGAAGAGATAGGTTTAGAGACCACGGCAAAGGTAAGATATCAGCAGTCAAAGTTAGACTATAGTGGGTGCTGAGGAAGGGAAGAGAATGGGGGGGTAAGGAATTCGATGAGGGCTGAGACCAGGCTTACCAGAAAGGAGAGGCAATGGAGATGCCTCTTCTTCAATCCAGAGTGTTCTAGCAACTTCTGGGTCTTGTCCTTGGTCTCCAGAGTAATAGTGAATTTCACATCACGGTACCCAGGGCTCAGATCCAAACAGACCTTCTGAGTAGAGGGGAAGTTAAGCTGGGCTGGTAACGTCACCAGGTAGTTTCTATTAAGGGAATGAAAGGATTTTAGAGCAATAATGGTTCATTCATTCAGTGAAAAATTAAGTATTCTCCTAGGTACTCATACAGCGGTGAATTTGACAGAAAAAGCCCCTGGCTTAATGAACCTTGTAAAGGGAGAAGCAGACAAGTAAATAACTTAGTGCACAGCCCTAAGACTCCACCTTTGAGTGGCTCTCACTGAGAACCCATACCTAGTGTACCAAGGAGGAAGTTACATCTGTTTTGGAGACCAGGGTACATTTTAATCTTTATCATCGGTTTGTGACCAGTCTGGTCACCATAGCCAGACCCTAAAAATAGCTGGGTGCAGTGGCTCACGCCCATAGTCTCTGCACTTGGGGAGGAAGAGGCAAGAGGATCACCTGAGCCCAGAGGTTCAAGGCCAGCCTGAACAACTTGGCATGACCTTGTTTCTATAAATCAAAAACTGAGTCAGGCGTGATGGCGCTTGCCTGTAGTTCCACCCACTTGGAAGGCTGAGGAGGAAAGATTGCCTGAGCCCAGCAGGTCGAGGCTGCGGTAAGCCTTGAGCGTGTCACTGCACTCCAGCCTGGGTGACAGTGAGACTCTGACTCAAATAAATAAATGTATTTTTAAAAATAAATAAATAGTGAGTGGATTGCCTGAGCCTGCAGGTTCGAGACCCGCCTGGGCAACTTGGCGAGACCTCATCTCTACAATAAATCAAAAAATCAGCCGGGCGTGGTAGCGTTTGCCTGTAATTCTGGCTACTCAGAAGGCTGAGGCGGAAGGGTCGCCGGAGCCCAGCGGGTCGAGGCTACAGTG